GGCGTGGACCAAGTACGGGCCGATCCATAGAGGAGACATATGCTTGCTGGGACGTGCTGCAGGACATGCAGCCGTGCAGGTCTGGTTCCATGTAGATTGTGACACAGAGACTGCGCCCTCAGGGCCTCTATGCTTAGTCTTGGAATTGCAGACTCGGCACGTGCACAGCGCAGATTACTATTCTAGGTACTCCATAGACGAAGATAATAATCCCGTGCTCATTCCTTTGGACTCGCTGAGGCACCCTGTGATTAACAGGCGTCTCGGCGATGCAATCACTTGCATTTGGCCAGTTGAGTATCGCAAATTGGAATGCTGACGCGTTTGCGATGTAGAAGTATACATCTTCACATCAATGAATACATCTTCAAAACATCCCGCAAGAAACACAACATCGAAATTGAAACAACATTGAACGCCCCAAAATCAAGTAGATGTTAGCCGAAAAACTATCATGTTATCCGAAATAAATCAACATGCTAACTTTTATAAATGAGTTATAACTAAGTTATAACTCCGCCTAACAGTTACTAACTTCAAATGCCTTCAGGCAGAGGAGCCCAGAGCGGCCTCCGGCACCGTTTCCGGACGGATCCGCTGGATCCGCTGGATCCGGTGACGAATCCCAAACCGGCGCCCTCGCTTGAGACATCCTCACAAAACAGGCCCCGGGGGGGATGCCCAGAGGAGCCCAGAGCGGCCTCCGGCACCGTTTCCGGACGGATCCGCTGGATCCGCTGGATCCGGTGACGAATCCCAAACCGGCGCCCTCGCCTGAGACATCCTCACAAAACGGGCCCCGGGGGGGATGCCCAGAGGAGCCCAGAGCGGCCTCCGGCACCGTTTCCGGACGGATCCGCTGGATCCGCTGGATCCGGTGACGAATCCCAAACCGGCGCCCTCGCCTGAGACATCCTCACAAAACGGGCCCCGGGGGGGATGCCCAGAGGAGCCCAGAGCGGCCTCCGGCACCGTTTCCGGACGGATCCGCTGGATCCGCTGGATCCGACGAATCCCAAACCGGCGCCCTCGCCTGAGACATCCTCACAAAACGGGCCCCGGGGGGGATGCCCAGAGGAGCCCAGAGCGGCCTCCGGCACCGTTTCCGGACGGATCCGCTGGATCCGCTGGATCCGGTGACGAATCCCAAACCGGCGCCCTCGCCTGAGACATCCTCACAAAACGGGCCCCGGGGGGGATGCCCAGAGGAGCCCAGAGCGGCCTCCGGCACCGTTTCCGGACGGATCCGCTGGATCCGCTGGATCCGCTGGATCCGACGAATCCCAAACCGGCGCCCTCGCCTGAGACATCCTCACAAAACGGGCCCCGGGGGGGATGCCCAGAGGAGCCCAGAGCGGCCTCCGGCACCGTTTCCGGACGGATCCGCTGGATCCGCTGGATCCGGTGACGAATCCCAAACCGGCGCCCTCGCCTGAGACATCCTCACAAAACGGGCCCCGGGGGGGATGCCCAGAGGAGCCCAGAGCGGCCTCCGGCACCGTTTCCGGACGGATCCGCTGGATCCGCTGGATCCGGTGACGAATCCCAAACCGGCGCCCTCGCCTGAGACATCCTCACAAAACGGGCCCCGGGGGGGATGCCCAGAGGAGCCCAGAGCGGCCTCCGGCACCGTTTCCGGACGGATCCGCTGGATCCGCTGGATCCGGTGACGAATCCCAAACCGGCGCCCTCGCCTGAGACATCCTCACAAAACGGGCCCCGGGGGGGATGCCCAGAGGAGCCCAGAGCGGCCTCCGGCACCGTTTCCGGACGGATCCGCTGGATCCGCTGGATCCGGTGACGAATCCCAAACCGGCGCCCTCGCCTGAGACATCCTCACAAAACGGGCCCCGGGGGGGATGCCCATGCCCAGAGGAGCCCAGAGCGGCCTCCGGCACCGTTTCCGGACGGATCCGCTGGATCCGCTGGATCCGCTGGATCCGGTGACGAATCCCAAACCGGCGCCCTCGCCTGAGACATCCTCACAAAACGGGCCCCGGGGGGGATGCCCAGAGGAGCCCAGAGCGGCCTCCGGCACCGTTTCCGGACGGATCCGCTGGATCCGCTGGATCCGGTGACGAATCCCAAACCGGCGCCCTCGCCTGAGACATCCTCACAAAACGGGCCCCGGGGGGGATGCCCAGAGGAGCCCAGAGCGGCCTCCGGCACCGTTTCCGGACGGATCCGCTGGATCCGCTGGATCCGGGATGACGAATCCCAAACCGGCGCCCTCGCCTGAGACATCCTCACAAAACGGGCCCCGGGGGGGATGCCCAGAGGAGCCCAGAGCGGCCTCCGGCACCGTTTCCGGACGGATCCGCTGGATCCGCTGGATCCGGTGACGAATCCCAAACCGGCGCCCTCGCCTGAGACATCCTCACAAAACGGGCCCCGGGGGGGATGCCCAGAGGAGCCCAGAGCGGCTTCCGGCACCGTTTCCGGACGGACGACCTGACTGCATAACACGCCTGGATATGCCGACGGGGGCGAAGGAGGAGGAGGAGGAGGAGGAGGAGGAGGAGGAGGAGGAGGAGGAGGAGGAGGAGGAGGAGGGGGAGGGGGCAGGCGAGGGAGCCCCGGCCCTGGGGGAGGGGCCCTGAGGGAGCCCTGATGGGCTTCCGGCACCATGGAGAGGTCCTGTGGGGCGGCCGCCCCTTCTTCTCTCGGTCGTTTCCCTCTCGCCCAGAAGCGCGCGCCCCTTCTTCTATATATATACATATATATACAGAAACTCCCGATCAACCGCAGAGCGGCGGATGTTAATGTAATGTCAAGAAGTTGCGCGTTCATGGCTCGCGATTTATATCTGGAACGCTAGATGCGTATTTGCTTAAGTGTCACTTAGCAAGCCAAATTATTACTTATACGTTTCACAATCTTATGACTAGTTATAAACAAGTTGTCCAGTTGCGGCCTGAGTTGCGCCGATTACACTTGCAGTTACCACGCATACAACCAAACATGTACATGACATATAAGCACCTAAAACCCCATATTGCCAAAGCTCGCCACGCCAACCCCTACACAACACGGCGGGGGTCACTTTTCGGCACCCCTCGCGAAGATCGGCGCCTTCGAGGGGGGGCCCGTATTCACGGGAATGCTATTTTTCGACACCCTCACGAGGATCGTGGCCCCTGCCGTTCCGCGCGAATTCTGTCACGATTTTTGTTTTGGGGGGGCGACTTTTCAATACCCCCCACGAGGATCGTTGCCTCCATGGGGGGAGCCGCAATCGACAACCCCTTCCGCAGGGGCCGGCTCCCCCTCCCGAGCCCGGGCCAGGAAGCGGCCCGCCGCCGAAGTGACAGGCCTGCGCTGCGGAGGTGTGATGCCCAGAGGTCCGACGCTCCGAAGAAATCTGAGCTCGGAGGGGGAGGAGGTACCCATGCCTCTACCCTCTTTGCTCGTTTTCCGCTTTTTGGGTCTCCTGGGGGGCCCTCGTCGCCACCGCTGGATTCGCCTCGAACTCCTGGTCAGAATGCACCCCCGGGAGAGGTCCGGGGAGTAGCGGTGTCGGTGCCTTTCGGTTTCCACAGAAGATGACGTTCTCATGCGATGGTGTTGTCGCCATGCCTATGCCGGCGACGGGGGGAAAGGGCTACACTCCGTGGCTTCATGCTGGGCCCTGTCCGACCGTGCTGGCCACATTGCCGGAGTGTGTTCCCGCTCGGGCGCATTCGCCCGCAGGTTTGCCCTTCTTCCACGCCTGCTGCACCGTGTTTGCTTCACCCCTTCGCTCCTCGGACCTGCCTCTTCGCAGGCAGGCCAACCCATGCTCCGTGCTCAATGCTCCTGTTGGTTTCCCCATGGGGCGGCGGGTTTTTTTAGGGGGCCACATGCGAACCCTACCCCTACCCCCCACGATTTCGGAGGGGGAGGGTGGGGTTCACTTCGCTCGGGAGCTCCCGAACGACGTGAACCCCCCCCCCTCCGAAATCGTGGGGGGGTGGAGGTATAGGGTTCGCATGCAGCCCCCTATTTTTGGGGGCCGTGTTCGGCCTCCGGGAGGCCTCGCTGCGCCGCGGGGCCGTCGAAGAAAGACGGCTCGGGGCGGAAAGCCGACCCCGGGCAAGTGGTCCTGACCTCCTGGGCCCACGCATCGAAAAGCTCGGAGCGGCCGGATGTCTGGGAAGGGGGCTTAGGATCGGAGGTCGATAGACCTCCTACCCTGACACGTCGATTAGCGAATGGGCCGTTTTCGGTTCGCGAGAGGGCGTCGCGGCAGTCATTTTTGCGGGTCCAGGTCCGTCGATCTCGGCCCTAGGCCGTTTTCACTAAAGGGAGGTTTATTAAATGGAGGTTGCGGATGCCCCAAGTGGTGCAGGGGGTCAGCGATCCAGGTCAAGTGGCCTCCGGCCCTTTCAGGGAGTTATCCACCCCCCCCGCCAGTGTCGGGCAGTTGCAGTCCACCCGGAAGTATTGGTTCAGGCCAGGTATAACCCACTTTAGCATCCGCTTCTAAGCCTCCTATTCCCTGAGCAACCCGAGCGGCCATCCCAGCGGAGACCGAGAATGCCCAGAGGCTGGCCGCCGCGATATTCTTGCGCGTCGCCCGGATCTGAGGGTCACTCGGCGCCCCTTCGGATCGGGCTTCGCGAAGAGTTGCAGCCTCTTAGACGAGGCTCGACCCCTGGACCCCACCGTTCTGCTGCAGTTTTCGAGCCCGATCGATCCGTCAGGGCCCCGTGGGCCCGAGACGTGGCGAAAGCGTCCCTCGACGCCATGCTTTGCGTCGCCTGCGTCCCCAGAACCACGACGTCATGTTTTCTTCGTAACGTCGACCCCCAGAGATCTCGACCCATTACCCAGGACCGGTTTTTCACCCTGAGTAGTTTTCTGACGGCCCCGAGGCCCGGTAAGGGCCCCATCGAGGTCGGAAACAGCGACAAACCTTCCGTCGTGACCTCCTCATCACTTGGGGGGGGTCTGGGTCCAAGGTCTGAGGGTCACCTCAGCGCCAGGGAGTCGCTGAGCGCTGCCGACCGCAAGCGCGCCTGGCCAGGACGCTGCTGCAGAGCCTGCTGGGGTGCGCGCACGTCCGAGCGCTCAGCGCCGGCGGCCGCGCCGCGGGCGCCGCCGCGGGCAGCCCGGCGTGGGCGGGCGGCCTCGAGGCGCTTTTTTTCTTGGGGAGGCGTGAGGCTCGGGCCTCCTCCTCCTCCTCCTCCTCCTCTCCTCCTCCTCCTCCTCCTCCTCCTCCTCCTCCTCCTCCTCCCCCTCCTCCTCCCTCCTCCTCCCTCCCCCTCCTCCTCCTCCTCCTCCTCCTCCTCCTCTCCTCCTCCTCCTCCTCCTCCCCCTCCTCCTCCTCCTCCTCCTCCTCCTCCTCCTCCTGCTCCTCCTCCTCCTCCTGCTCCTAGCAGGACTCGGGCTCCCTGGCCTGAGAAACATGATCCGACGGAGGGTGTTCGTCCCCTGAGATCCTGGCGACTCAGGTTGTTCGAGCCGGGGGTTTTCGCTCAGCTTTGGGTCCCAGAACCCGCACAGATCGATCGGGATCGAAAAATGACGCAGGAAGATGAGGCCCAGGGGCCCTCACAGTCAAACGTTGCTCAGGGTGGGAGGCCGGTCCTGGTGGATGGGTCCGGCCCTCTGGGGAGCCGCGTTGTTCGGGTTTGCCGACGCGCTCTTGGCGATCTTGGCATGCACTGTGACGGTCCGGTGCTTGCAGCGCGAGATTGCGCCAAGTTTCGGACCGTGTCCGTCGTTCTTCGGGCGGCCCCGTCAGGCCAGCTCGAGCTCCCCGAAGCTCGAGGCACACGTCTCCCCGAGCTTGGGCCAGGGGTTCGGGAGAGGGATGGGAGGGCAGGTGCTCCTGGGTTTTGCATACGTTGGCCTTCGTTGGCGCAGGGTCTCTTGCTTCAGGATGCGTTGCAGAAGCTGCACCTCTCCGAACGGCGGCCGGGAGTGCCCGGGTCGTCCCGCACGGCGGCTGGAGACCGGAGAGGTGGCTGGGGAGCCCGGCGACGAGGATCATCCGGGGGGGCTCGGATGCAACTCCTGGGAGGTCCAATCTTGACATGGGCCCTGGTCCGAACTCCGGCGTAATCCGGATTCATCCCACCAAATCTGGCTGGATCCTGCGAAATCCGGCTTACTCCCGCTTCCTCCGCGGCCTAATCCGGCGTAGCAGCCCCTTCCTGGGGCTCAATTCTTCCTCGGGGTCTCAAAAGGCGCCCCAGGACCGAGGCCTCCCAGCAGGTGCCTCCAAAGGCGGCTCCGGAGGCCTCCAAGACGCCCCGAGAGAGCTTCGAGCGGGAGCGCTGTACGAATTTTGACTCTGGGCCTTTAGATGGCGCTCCTTGTGGGCACGATCCGCGTGATGGGTTGTGCCACAATGGCCAGATGGGGTGCGCAGTGCGAACCTTGCCTTTGGGGCTGTGGGTGGAGATCCATGTGGGCGACGATCCGTGTCAGAGGTGTACCGAAGTAGACGGGAGGTCGGGATGTGAAGCTTGTCTCAGGGGCCGTTCGTGGAAATCCTTGCGGGCCAAGATCCGTGTGAGAGGTGTGCCGAAGTAGCTGGGGGCGACGCGATAACGCTTCACCCAGGTGTCGCAAATGCAGTTCTTTGCAGGGCGCGATCCGCGTGTTGGGCGTGCCAGTATACGAACCTTGTCTTTAGGGGCGTAGGTGGAGCTCCTTGTCGGGCGCGATCCCTGTGAAGGGTGTGCCAACAATAGCGGGGGAACGCTAGCCAAGCGTGTGTCTGGGGCCGCAGGTTGAGCTTTCCTGAGGGGCACGATCCGTGCGACAATCTATGGCCTCCAATACCGAACAAATTACGCTACAACTAGAGCTTGCTAGCACCCAAGCGCGCGGAGCGCGCGTGGTTCTAGTCATTTATGTATATATATGTGTATATATGTAGATGTATGTTTCATAGTTGTATACCTATATATACATGAATATAACTATGTTTATGGATATGCAGTGTGCTATATAACATAGTATGGTTCGTTGCCTGCTGTTCCATGTTTCATATGAGTCCATATCATATTATTGTGTGCTCGCTATGTTCGTATACGCTTATATAAACAATCTACATGTGTCTGCAAGTGTGTATATAGAGATGCAAATGTATATGTGTATATATATATATATATATATATATATATATATATATATATGTATGCCTTCATGTGCTTGCTGCTCGTGGGGACCGCCAGAACCCACTCGGTCTGAGAGGCTGGTCCTGGGGAAGAAGGTCGACGGGTCCAGAGGGCCACGCTGCGAAACAGAGCTCACGACGCCGGGGGTCCGGGAGGGGCGTGGGGAGGGGAGGAGGAGGAGGAGGAAGGGAAGGAGGAGGAGGTGGAGGAGGAGGAGGGGGATGAGGAGGAAGAAAAGGAGGAGGAGAAGGAGGAGGAGGAGGAAGAAAAGAAGAAGGAGAAGAGGAGGAGAGGAGGAGGAGGAGGAGGAAGAGAAGGAGAGGAGGAGGGAGGAGGAGGAGAGGAGTAGGAGGAGGAGAGGAGGAGGAGGAGGGAGGAGAGGAGGAGGTGGAGGAGGAGGAGAAGGAGGAGGAGGAGGAGGAGGTGGAGGAGGAGGAGGTCGAGGAGGACGAGGAGGACGATGACGAGGACGAGGACGGGGGCGGGGGAGGGGCGGGTGGGGGGGGAACGGGAAGATGAACCAAAGATATAGGGAGTCCCAGAAAGGAAGGAGTTGACATCTCCTCCTCGGCGGAAGGCGGCGGAAGGCACTCGGAAGGCGGCAGACGCAAAACGGCGCCGTCCGCCGCCGGAAGCCGCTGGAATGCTGGCGGAAGTTGGCGGATGTACAAATCCGCTCCAAAGAGTTGCACATGTTTCTGGGTTCGGGTTTCCGGAACCCGCCATATTCGGGGAGGGGGGGGGCTGAAGAGGGATAATATTGTGAGAGGGACGCGTGGGACTGCAGCGGACAGGAGCAAGAGAGGGAACGCTGCAGGCTGCCGACCCCTGGGCCCCAGTCAGAGTCCGCTTCGATCCGATCCATCGATTCGATATCGATTCCAGTCGGCCTGATACGGTTCGAGCCCGATATCCCTACTGTCCGATGCGCCCTGATGCTTGCGTGGTGCCGTTGTGCATCCTGGCGCTGCCGATCGGCTTCGGTTCCGAGGCCGTGCCCCCGCAGCCCGATCCGGTGCACACTCTGATTCGAACCGATCTTCCAGAATCGATGCTACCAGCTCCCGCTAGTTCCCGGTGAACCGGAGGAGGGGGGGAGGAGGGGGAAGAGGGAGAGAACCGAAAAGGGGAAGGAGGGGAAGGAGGGGGGAAGGAGGGGAAGGAGGGGTAGGAGGGGGAGGAACGAACCGAGGAGGAGGGGGAGGAGGGGGCCGAGGAGGGAACCGAAAGGGGAAGGAGGGGGAGGAGGGCGAGGCTGATTTTTTTGCTCGGGGTCCGGCGCTCACCCGGGGGGTCACCGGGCCCGCCCGCCCCTCCCCCTTTTGTCCCCCCCAGGCAGCCTGACCTCGTCGGTTGCGCAAGTCCGAAGGGGCTGCGTTTTCGTCGGGGGACGATGTCTTAACAGTTTTATTTTGTTTTGACTTGGAGTTTTGACTATTTCGACTATTTGATTTTATGTTTGTCTTGGAGTATGTTGTGAGTGTGTTCATGGTTCGTCCATTATCCGCCTGTAGGAGGACATGCCCGACCCGAGGCTGCGTACGCAGTGCTGGTGCACGCGGGCATACGTGGGAATCCCCAAGACGAAAAGGTTCGATACTTATTGGCCAGCACCTCCCCCCCGCCCCTCCACCCCCCTAGTGGATAAACTTGGGCTATCGCCGAAAAAGTACACCGCCAACCACCAAACCACCCCAACCCAAGACGAAGTGGGACCCGAAGGCCCCCAACTTGCTCTCCATTCCCGGGGGGGCGTCGGGGAACATTAAAAAACAAATGTGAGCGGCGCAAAAAACGGGGCTCGTCTGCGCCGACATTGGAGCGTACGCTCCCCGCGTAAGGTCGCGCGTCAGCGACGTCGTCTCTGATGAAGCGTGCCGCGCCGGCGGCCCGCGTAAGCCGCCGCGTATGGTCGCTATGCCGTCTCGCGTGCCATCTGTTTTTCTGATCGTCGCCCCTGTGGATCCCGCATCCCCCCCCAACCCGAAGCTGGTGTCTTCGGATCGGGTTTGGGGTGGTCTGGTAGGCAGCCATCCAAAGCACGACCTCGAGTTTTCGCGGCCCGTGCTCGGCGTTTCGATCAGTCACCCCCCGCCTCTCGGGCCCTCGCTTCGCTCGGCGCTCGCGAATCCCCTCGTCGCTCCCCTCGGCCTGCGCTTTGCAGGGGAGCCGAGGCCTGACGTCGTCCCACGCGCGACCATCGGGGGCGAACCCGGGGGGGGGGCAGGCTCCGGGGTGGTCACGCATCGGCCCCCTTTCGCCCATCCATTGCCGATGGCCCACCCCGCCCAGGCGTGCGGATTCCCTGTCGGGGGCCTATCGCCGATGCATCGGCGGTGTGTCGCCGATTCCATTCATGGTCCCCGCCCCCTGACCTGGGACCAGGGCCCTCCTCCTTGCGTTCCCCTCATTGATGGCGGGCTGATGGGCTCGGGAGGGAGCGCATCGACGTTAGGGGGGCGGATAGGCCCAAGGGCAACGTTGGGGTGGGGATGAGGCTAAAGGGGTTTCCAGACGTTTTCAGTGGCTCCTGAAGGATTTCTTGCGTCGGGATGCGTTTCAGCAGCTGCGCCTCGCCGCGAGGCGTCCGGGGGTGCCCGGATCGCGCCGAACGGCCGTCGGAGGTCCGAGGTATGGCCCGAAGACCACCAGGGAGACACAGGTCGGTGGGTCGTTGGCAGCGTCAGGGGGGGCAGTTCAGTGGGGGAGAACGTACACAGCCTCCATCGCCCATTCATCGCCGATGGAGGCCCGATAGCCCACCCCGCCCACGAGAGCGCGCGGCTTCGCTGTCGGGGGCCTGTCGCCGATCTGTCGGCGATGCGTCGCCGATTTCAAGTCGGTGTCGCCCCGCCCACTGGGCGCCCCCCCCCTGCCAGACCCCGACGGCGGTTTTCGCACCACGCGGACCCCTGGAGGTCTCGACCCATTCCCTGGGACTGGCTCTTCATTCGGAGCCATGTTTTGCCCGGCCCGGGGCCCGGCCAGGCCACGAGGCCAGAAACAGTGAAAAACCTCCCGTCGCAAGTTTTTGTTCACGACGCAGTGCGTCCTGGCCTACCCCGTGAACTGTGAGGGGACCAATGCCTGACATCGGCCCGCGCCCGAACACAAAAAGCGGCGCCAAGTTCTCCTCCGAGCTGGAGGGCGCGCGGAGCGAGTGGGGCGGAGACGGTGCAGATATCGATGATGCAGGTAGCAGCCGGCGGATCATCGAATACGAGAAGTTCATATGAACATGTTTCACAAGAGAAAACCCCAATGAGTGGATGTTTGGAAAGTTTGGCAGGCCCAGTGGTGTCCAGTGGTTGGATCGTGAGATCGTGAGTGAGAGCAATCGTGAGATCGATATTGAGATCGACGCTGGGATCGATAGTGATATGGATAGTGAGGTCGATGGTGAGATCGATGGTGAGATCGATATTGGGATCGATAGCGAGGACAATAGGAAGGTCGATCGTGAACCTGGTAGTGAAGTCGATTCAGTTAGATCGATAGGGAGAGATCGACAGGGAGAACCCAGAACCAGAAACCTTGGAACCCTGCGATCGGAAACGCGAGACAGGGCAGCCGGGAACCAAGAACCCAGAACCAGGATCGACCAGACGTAAGAGTGACCTTTCGCCGGAGTGACTTTTGGTGCGGGCACAGATGGGCCCCCAGGTGGCTGAAAACGAAGCAGGAGCAGCGGCTTGCGCGCCCAGGTTTGGTCTCCCCGCGGCCCCCAAAAAGCCGCGCACCAAAGGTCACTCCTACCCAGGGTCACTCTTGCGTATAGCCGACAGGAACCGGGAACCCAGAACCGGGAATCCGGGAACCGGGCGGCCTTCCGAACTCGGCCGCCCATTGTCGACAAATTTTTCAAGATCCGCTGTAGGACCTCTTCAGTGCAAGCACTGATTGGGGAACGTCGAGACATGAACGATTGCATAAACATGCACTTTCGACGGACCGCGCGGATTTCTTGTATCTGCGCTGGGCCCCCTTGGCGGTGCCTCCGGCGCCGCCCCAGGTGCTCGGAGCGCGCCAGTGAGGGGGATCCAACGCAGAGCCCAGACATCCTTGCAGACCGTCGAAAGTTCGTGTTTATGCCGTTGGTCTTCTTTCGAGTGCAGCCATCTTGTCACCACCAGGAGCGCTACATAAGGCACGCAGCCTCTCTTCGATTCCGGAAGCCGTCGGGCGCACGAGGAGCGCCAAGGGAACAACCGTGGAGGGACCTGAGGAACGGCAAGCCCCATTCCGAACCCCCGAACTGCTCCTTACAGTCGGCCCAGAGTAGTAGGTCGACCCTGCCAAATCCAGGGTACCCTTGTGTCCTCTGTCTCGCGACCCGTGCTTCCTACATTCCTGTGGCAACGTGGCCCTCGGAAGTGTCTCGTGTCCTCTCGCGTGTCCTGTCCAATCGAGCCCGACTGCATCTCGGTGCCACGAAGCAGGGCGAGCCTCTCGTCAGCAGACCCCCTCCCCAACAGCTGGGCCAGTGCTTCCCGACGCACTTCGCTGCCGGCGAGCCGGCCCAACCCACTCGGGCGCGTGCGCCCCTCCAGTGCGGACAGACGAGCTGGCCCGTGCTTGCCCGAAGAAGCTTCTCGGCCGCCCCGATCCGCCTCGCGCCGGAGCGGACTGCCTCTGCCGCGCCGCCGACGAAGGAACAAAACAAATGGTCTGAGGGAGCCTTGCGGACAGCTGGCCCAGCTGCCCGAAACAGCTGGAAGCTCCTGGACAGCTTCTGGACAGCTTCTGGACAGGCGGACAGCCGGAAGCTTCTGGGCAGCTGGACAGCTGGCCCTGATGTCTCCTGAGAGACCCTCCTCGGCGCGGTGCTTCCGCGCCTCGGCGGCTCACGTTCTCGGAGGTCCGCGCGGACTTCTCGGAGGTTGGCGTCGGGCGCCCCGCCCCTCTCGCGCCAGGGGGGGGGGGGGGTCGGCGTCGGGAGGCGGTGGCCAGCGCCGGTCCCAGGGACCCGCGCGGACCTTCGAGGATGTGTCGGGGGTGGACAGAGCCCCCACCCTGACACGTCGATTAGTGACCTGTTTGTTTTCGGTTCTCGAGAGGGCTGATTAGGGGGCCACATGCGAACTCTACCCCTGCCCCCCACGAGTTCGGAGGGGGAGGGTGGGGTTCACTTCGCTCGGGAGCTCCCGAACGAAGTGAACCCCACCCTCCCCACCGTCCCCCTCAGAACTCGTGGGGGGTAGGTGTGGCCCGTAAGGGCGCCGCGGCCGTCATTTTCCAGGCTTGCGCCTGCCAGGTTTCGGCCCCAGGTCGTTTTCACTAAACCACGTTTTGCTAAAGGGGGTTCTGTCCATCCCCGAATGTGCATGTTCATGTCGATCGGTGCGTTTGCCGAGGCAGCAGCGGGCGCAGGAGCGGGCTGCGACCGGCATTCCGGGGCCCGGCGCACAGGTCAGGGGCACAATACGGCCCCAGACCCCCCTCGAATGGAGACAGAAAGCGTAGTTAACGGGAGGTTTTTTCTGATATTTGTTCGGCTCTTGGGGACTTTTTTACCAGGTCGCAGGACCTTCAGAAAACGACTCAGGAAGAGAAACCGGTCACGGAGAATGGGTCGAGACCTGCGAGCGGGTGGTAATTGGGGGTGGCCCAAAGTGGGGGGTGAAGAATAGGGCCCTGCAGGGGCCCCTTTTGGAGACAGTTGGTGCCCAAAAGGGTGCCTTGATGGCCCCTTCCTTCACCCCCCATTACGGCCACACCCGACTGCTACCCGCCCGAGACCTCTGGGGGTCGACGTCACGAAAAAATCGTGACGTCGGGGGTCTGCGACAGGGAGGAGCTGGCCCAGGGGCGGAAGTGTCGACCCGCCAATCGCCCATGCATCGCCGGTTTTCCGCTATGTCGGCGACCTGTCGCCGATGTCTCGGCGGAGCATCGGCGGCTCCAGCTCGATGTCCCCCCCCCTGAGCCAGACAGGAGATTTTTCGCCATTTTCGGCCTCAGGGGGCCCCTACGGGGCCTCGGGACCGTCAAAAAACGATTCTCAGGCTGAAGAACCAGCCATGGGGAATGAGTCGAGACCGCCTGGGGTCGACGTCATGAAAGAATTGTGACGTCGGGGGTCTGGGGAGCCAGTCCCCCCCAGACCCCTGACGTCGTTTTTTTTTTGTTCGCACGTGGACCTCGGGGGGCTTGACCCATTCCCCGGGACCAGCTTCTCATTTTGAGCTGTTTTTTTGACGGCCCTGGGACCCGGCGAGGGTCCCCAGAGATCAGGAACAACACAATACCTTCCGTCGCCGTTTTTTGTCACGACGAGAGGTAGTCGGCGCCTACCCTGAAATCCGACGTTGCGAAAATCTTGCCACACTGCGACAAGATCACGCACGGAGCCCCATGTATCCCATCTTCCTGCTGCATTTTTCGAGCCGGAACGATCGGTGATGGCACTGCACTGAGGCCCAGCACAACAGGCACAATCGCCGGTTTCGAAACAGATACGGTGCCAAGATCTAATACGATCCTCCCCCTTCGATAGGGGGTCGCGCGGCGACTACCTGAGGATGTGCGAGCAGGTGGACCGGGTGGCGTTCTTCCTGCACGCGCTGCGGCCGTTCTCGCTCTCAGCGGGCCCCTCGGCCTTGGCATAGCTCGGGCGTCTGCATTTTGTTGTTGTCGTTATTGTTGAATTCTCATTTCTGAAGCATAATTATTATTGATCCCCCCCACTGGTGCATATTATTTTTTCTTCAGTCAAAGTGTGCCCCTCGACGCTCGCACCTTGTTTTTTGACAGGGAAAGTCTTGATGCTCAAACTGTGCCCTGGCCCCCGGGTTACAACGAGAACGGCTCCCGCCTGAGATTTTCTCACAATTTAGCCAGGACCCCCGCTCCCGCCCGAGACTTCCTCGCATTTGATTCAGGAATCGCGCTCTCGCTTGGGACTTCCTTACAATTTATTCAGGAATCGCTCGCCCAGCGCTCTGGAGTCGCGCTCTCGCTGGAGACTTGCTTGCAATTTACTGAAGAATATCGCCCTTGCGTTGGATTTTTTTGCAATTTGCTCAAGCGCCGCGCTCCCGACACCCAGGCACCCAGGAGTCGCTCTGTTGTGGCTCCATGTGCATGCCCTTCGTGGCCCCGCACTGTCCTACGTGGCCCAGTTGCTACCCTCAGTGGTCCCATCGTTGCATTCTGTGGCCCCGCATTATGCATTATCTGCCCTTCGTGGCCCCCGCTCGTTCGCGCTCTTCGTGGCCCCATACGCATTCCCTTCGTGTCCCCGCTGTCGCTCTTCGTGGCCTACTTCGTGTCCTTCGTGACCCTGCTGTCGTTCCCTCTCGCTCTCGCTTTCGCTCGTCGTTGTCGCCGTCGTCGTCGCCGTCGTCGTCGACGTCGTCGTCGTCGTGGTCGGTCCCCTGTCCGTCCCTCTTGGGGTCAGGTCGACGGTCCGCGGTTGCCCCGCCGATCAGCGCTGCCGCTGGCCAGGCCGACGGTCCGCGGCCGCCCCGCCGCTTGCCGGGGCCCGGCTTGCAGGGAAGAAAGGTATACCCCCAAAAGGGGTTCGATCGAAGATGAAGAGGGCGGGTATCGAGAGTTTGGGGAATTCGCGTTATTGGACACTGGACACTCGAGCAGATAAGGGCGAACAGTCTTAAACTGATTGTTGTTGTTGGTGGTGTTGTTGTTGTTGCTGTTGTTGTTGTTGTTGTTGTTGTTGCTGTTGTTGTTGTTGTTGTGTACGTTGTTGTTGATGTTGGTGTTGGTGTTGGTGTTATTTTTGTTGTGGTTGTGGTTGTGGTTTGTGGTTTGTGGTTTGTTGTTGTTGTTGTTGTTGTTGTTGTTGTTGTTGTTGTTGTTGTTGTTGTTGTTGGTGTGGTGGCTGTTGTTGTTGCTGTTGCTGTTGCTGTTGCTGTGTTTGTTGTTCTCGTTGTTGTCGTGGTTGTTGTTGTTGTCGTTGTTGTTGTCGTTATTGTTATTGTTCTTGTTATTATTGTTGTTGTTGTTGTTGTTGTTGTTGCTGTTGTTTATTTTGAGTGTTGGTGCAAGGACCATCGGGGAGCATTTTTGTTCACCCGGCGAAGCAGTGCACGCACGAGTCCGACGAATGCACGGGGAGAGGACGTCCGAGCGGTGTCGAGCGTCGCGGGCCGCGCGACGCCCCGCGCCGCCGCGCCGCGCGTTGCCCGCCCCTCCTCATGGGGCGGCGTGCGGGGAGTTGGGTGCAGTGGAGGCCAATGCCAAGGAACACCCTGCTTGCCTCCAGGGTGCCCTGGGTTTCTTTGGGTTTCCACGGTTTTGCGATGGAAAGCGTGACGTGCCCACACCAAGAATCGATGGTCGCCCTGGGGTCTCAGGGTTGGGCTTCCTGTGGAAGGTTTCTTGTGGTCGGGTCCCAACTGTCGGATAGGCGCAGGGGCAATCTTGTGGGGTGGATTGGGCTAAGGGTTTCCGGACGTTTTCACTGGTTCCTGGATCGGAGAACGCGCAATGGGTGAGGCGATACATGGGGCGGCGCGAGGGTTGCCGAAAAGGGGCCCTTTGTGGCCGCTAAGGGGCGCCTTAGGGTCCCAAAATGGGCCCCCTAGGGTCTCTGTTTTCCCTTCCATTGATCGCCCCCCACTAATTCGCGCCCAACTAGAGGAGCTCCTGCCTCGGGATGCGTTTCAGCAGCTGCGCCTCGCCGCGAGGCGTCTGGGGGCGCTCAGATCGCCCCGAAGGTCCGCCGGAGGTCCGAGTTAGACGTCAGTCAGTAGCAGCGTGAACCCACACGCACGCTTACACACCGACTTACATTTACACTTACATACTCTTTCACACACTCGCACACACGCACACACACACAACACTCACACACGCACACGCACACGCACACGCACACGCACACGCACACGCACACGCACACGCACACGCTCACACGCACACACACAGAGAAACACGTCCGCCGTTTCCCAACCCCCCCGCGACGTCTGGGCGCAGCGAGCAGCAAGGTTTCATCACTGCGCCGTCGACGACGTGGGCGACATCGCCCTGTGCGCGCTGCGCGAGCAGCTCGTCCACGTGGTCCGGGAGCTCGAGGGGTCGCTGGCGGAGCTGCGGCTGGCGCGCCAGCAGGTCCAGGGCGAGCAGAAGGCAGAGAAAGAACAGGTACAGATACCGCTACCCTGGGGCCTCTCCTCCTCCTCTTCCTCCTCCTTTTTCTCCACCTCCTCCTCATCCTACTCCTCATCCTCCTCCTCCTGTTCCTCCTCCTCCTCCTCCTCCTCCTCCTCCTCCTCCTCCTCCTACTCCTCATCCTTCTTCCTCCTATTCCTCATCCTTCCCCATCCTCCTCTTCGTCCTCCACCTCCTGCTACTCCTCCTCGTCCTCCTCCCTCTCCTCCTCCTCCTCCTCCTCCTCCTCCTCCTCCTCCTCCTCGTCATCTATCTCTTCCTCCTCCTCCTCCTTCTCCCCCTCTGGCCGCGCCTGCTCCCGAGGTGGCGCGCGCCGCCAAGCGGGGGCTGCAGGACCAGGTCCTGGCCGCAAACGGCGCGACGGTTTTCGGAGTCCACGCTCCCATATAATGGGGAGGAGGATGTTTGAGGGAGGAGGAGGAGGAGGAGGAGGAGGAGGAAGAGGAGGAGGAGGAGGAGGAGGAGGAGGACGAAAAGGAGGAAGAGGAGGAGGAGGAGGAGGATGAGGAGGAAGGGGCGGAGGAGGAGGAGGAAAAGGAGGAGGAGGACGAGGAGGAGGAGGAGGAGGGGGAGGAAAAGGAGAAGGAACAAGAGGAGTAGGGAGGAGGAATGAAGAGGAGGGAGGGGGGAGGAGAGCGGAGGAGAGGGATGAGGAGAAGGCGGGATGAGGACCTGGAAGTGGAGGTGGAGGGGAGGAGCAGGAACCATCATGTTGACTCTGACGATTACCAATGTTATGTTGCTGGTGATGATGTTGATGATGGTGGTGGTCAAGACCATTCTGCTGATGGTGGTGAAGTTCATGGCGATGGCGGTGGTGACGGCGACGGTTACTACAGTCAGCGGACTAGTGCCGGTCGTGACAGTGTAATGAGTTGATCAAATCGTGCAGGTTTTGGGCACAACGTCATGTTCCCGACCTCGTGGCATCCATCGCCGCTTTGGCTCCAGTGGCGCGGTTTCAGGGCGCGCTCCGTGGCGTCGGTTCCAGCAGAGCAGCGCAAACGCGATGCAGTTGGGAAGTTGCGGAGGGCCTGGCGGGCGAGCTCGGTGTCGAGACCGGCAGTCGCACGGTGGCAGATGTGTCCGCGACCGCCTTCGATGTCCTGCGGGACAGCGCCGCGCAGGGAACGAGTAACTACGCCTGACCAGCGGCAGAGACTGGACGATGCCGCCGCGACGTATCGGGGAGAGGAGGCGTCTGGGTCAGCGGTCCCGATGTTGCCGCCTCTGTGGCCCCCTGGGGCAGCCGCGGCCCGCCGAGGCCTGCGGCGCCGGCGCGGGGTCCCGAGGCCGCGGCCGCGGGCCCAGTCGACGGCGGCGGCGACGACGACGGGGCGCACGGGGGCTTCCGCCTGACGGCCCCGTCGTGCCATGCCACGTGGAACAACCGCGCTTTCGGCCAGATGCCCTTCGACCAGCTCGGGGGCGAGTTCATGGCGTCGGCGCGCCCCTTCACATTCGTGCAGCTGTGGGCGTCAAGTGCAGGGGAAGTCCTTGAAGTCGAAGGATGCAAGGGTCCTGCATCTTCATGAGGTTTTGCCGTTCAAGGCATGTCCAGGTTGGACCACTCTGGAAAAGGTTTGCTTCCTTGGCGGGTTGCCAAATGCGTCGTCTACGCAGGCGCGGGGGCTCAACGTCGAGCAGGCGCAGAACTATGGGCTTGTTTACTGCTGGGCATGGAAGCCCGGAGCGATCAGAGTGTCCACTAAGCATCGCGAGCCGGGGCAGGACTACCCCGCGAAGAGGCTACGTATTGACGACCTCTGGTCGCAGCATAACTGAGACCGCCGCGTATACTTCGAGTCCGCCGCCAAAGACGGAGTCGGCTACGTCGACCGCTGCAGGCAGGTAGAGTCGCTGATAGCACGGGTGCAAGGCCCAGCTGTTGGATCGCCGGCGGGACATTGCCATAAACCTTGGCATTCTTCCAGGATTCCTTTTGACTGTAGGTGCTGGCGCCCCTGCAGCCTTGGCGGCCGCACCCCTCGAGCCAATGTGCAGGTTCCTCGTATTGCGCGGCGCATCGAAGACCAATGAAAACACCTTGGCCTGGTCCCTCGGGGCCGCTCTGGGTTACGGTGGTTTCCCACGCGTGCGGATTGTCCATAACGCGAAAATTCCAGATTCTCGCGCGTGCAATCCTGACGTGCATGCATCTGTAGTGTTTGATAATGTTACTAAGCACGTGAGTTTTGTGGTTGGTCAATGTTCAATCCAATAAGTGTGTGCGTACCGCGGGCGAAAGCAAAGCAGGCATGTACAGTTACGACTTCCAGTTGCACTATGTGCCCTTGGTGGCCGCTGCGGACATGTCGGCAAAATTGGATTTGCAGAGCCATGGATCCACGAGAACTGCATCGAAGTAGTGTTTCAGGGCCCATATTGGGTGGAGTCACCACTGCACCATTGGATTATCATCATCATCACCACCACCAACATCATCACCGCCAGCAGCATCGATATCAGTATACCACTCATAACCGGAACCGATCGCATAATTCGAACGAGAATATATATATATATATATATGTGGAGCGCTCGTTTTAGATGCGTTCGACCTATATTGTGCTGCCTTCGGCAATGCCGACACCGCGCCGCGCCGCGGGCCCAGGGGTTGGGGGGGGAACACACGGGGCAAACGGGCTAAAGGGGAGAGAGGGACAGCGCAAAAGGGACAGCGGGGACACAAAGCCCTTCCAGACATCTCACTGGCATTCCAACACGCCGGCGCCGCGGAGGCGCGGCGGCGAATATAAGCAGCCTGTTGCCATTGTTGAAGCCGTCTTGTTGCCCGCGTTAGAAGCACAATGATTGCGTACAGTGATGTTGCAGAGCAATGCTTGTACAATGCGCAAGATGGCTCACTGTTTGTCCCCGTCTCCTCGTGATTTCTGCCCTCGCCGCATCGCGCCGCACAAGCCCAGGCCGGTATCGAGACTTCCGGCCGGCGTTTCCCTCCAAGTGGTTTCCCGTCTTTATCCCCATCATGCGCGTCATCTTCGTGTCCCCCGCATCCTCATCATATGCGTCCTCGTGGTGCCGTGTCCGTGGAGCCGCCCGTGCTGCGTGCCGTAGGATGCCGTGCTGGACGAGGCTGGGCCAGTATGGAGCCCGCATCCTCAGATCGTTCATCCTCATATCCCGCATCCTCCATATTCAACCGGCGTACGCCAGTCCACCGACCCCCCAAGAGTGATAACTTGCGACGATTGCGGAAGGTATCTAGTGGCCTGCGGTCCAACGCGCCGCTGCGCCTGGATACATATGAGGGCTTCTTGGGATGCCCCACAGGGGCCTCTTGGATGGCTGTTGGGGGCATCTCATCCTCTATATCTTTCGTCATCTTCACCCTCGTCCTCCTAACCCGCTTCCGCGTCGTCATTGTCATGTATATCATCCCTCATCTTCCTCGTCCTCACCCTAATCATTCTCCTCGTTCTTATGATCATCCTCATCCTGCTCCTTCTCCTACTGTTTCTAAACATCACCTTCATTATGATCTACATTCCCCTAGTCCTCATCCTCCGTGCCCGGCGTCATTTTCCCGTCCTTATTGTTCTGTATATTTATCCATATCCGCATCTCCGTCTTCACCCTCCACCCTCATCGTCCTCTCCGTGCTCATTGTCCTGGCCCTCCCTGTCCTCATCCTCCTCGTTACTCGTCCTCCCGCCCTCATCCTCCTGATGCTTTTGCCATCACGATCGTACTTGGACACCTCTTGGGCCGTCTTGGGGCGCTCTTAGGCCGCCCTGG